TTTTTTATTTATCTCTGTTCATCTGTACCAACGATTTTGCCATTACATTTTACTGTTACAAATGTTGACCGATTTCAATTTGACAATATGCTGATTACTGATTTCCACTTTACAAAGTGCTCAACCTATCGATTTCAATTTAACAAAGTGTCATTTGCCCATTTCAAGGTGACCCTGAACCGCGACTACCTAATGCTGGAGCCTATTGGGTCTCTGTTCTTAATCTTCTTCGGGTCGGTGATGCTGATTCAGTTTACCGCCATGTTGATGCACCGCCTTGGGACCCTCAAGCATTTGCTGTCCACTGTGCAACTCAACTGGTACTTCACTAAGAGGGTAAGTGGACAATGATTTTGCATGCTTTGTTGTTTCTAGTGACAGTAATAGCTACTATGGGTCAGTTATTGGAACGGTTCTTTAGGCCCTGACGCTGGAAATAGAAAACTTTAGTCAAGGCCTCGCCGAGTCAGACTGGAATCATTTCATGTCACAACTTTTTTGCAAACAGTTATTAAATTGAACCCTGAGAATGACCCTAATCAGATTTTTAGTAGTCCGTAATTGACTCAAAGAACAAATGTTTTCATAGGTATCTATCATGATATTAACAAATCTATGAGAGGATATCCGTTTTGATAGCTAATACATTGTAGGTATATTATCAATTTATTGCTCAAACAATTATATTATTTTTTATTTATCGTCAATTCTAACATTACTTTCACAGCCGGACGAGCTCACACAACACGCTCACATCGAGAAGAACGCCATAGAAATAGCCAAAGACCTGCAGAAGTTAAATATGGACGACTTGGACAAGGCGGGCGTGGACGAAAACCACGTGACCCGCCGCAAGACGCTACACAATTTAGAGCGCGCGCGAGAAACCAAGACTAACATCATGAATTTGGATACCAACTTCAAGCGGCGAATGATGAACCCCGAGCCAGGTAACATACTGTAACATGTTTTTCTTTTATAAGAACGTGTGGGCAACGTGACCTAGCAGTCATGGATATTCATGACATTACCTAGGAGAACATTCTGGAATCAGACGATAAACAAATGAGAATCGTGAAGACGTATGGATGCACCAAAAATTGACGAATCGAAAATTCATCTGTGAGACTGTGACGACGACGATGCCCAAATGTTCCTTTAACTACTGTCAACTATGAAAAACACTACGTTTGCCGTGACGTTGTCTGTACTTGGGAATCTGTTTACTAGTCATAGATTCTTGGACGAATATAGCTGGAATAGTGACAGGCTTACTATATTTTTGACCATGTTTGTTACTTTGAGGTCATGTCATGCCATGATCTCGTTCCAGTTTTTATAACAAAGACAACCTAATAAGCAGTCCATTTATTTTATTTTCAGAAATAATATCACGTCTATCTTCGCTGGGCGGTAACGCGAACACGCGGCGAGCGACGCTACGCGCGCTGCAGACGCGGCGCGAGTCAGTCATAGCTGAGCGACGCCGATCGCAGATGGAGAAGGCGAGGGAATCCACCTCGGCTTACCTTTATGATGCACCGAGTAACAACGTAAGGGTTTATTGCATTTACCCGCTTATTATTTTGTTTCCACAGAGTAACCACATCTTGTTGCTACGCCACTACTGGTCAAACGTTGCGTTCTGTGTGCTGAGTGTGAGTTTTAGTGAGCGCGTTTAAAAAAAATATGAAAATTTTAGTTTTTGAACCTTTCCCGCTAGGGGCGCTGTACAATCCGTCATACATTTAATGTCATTTTTTGACGCGCTCACTAGTGAGTGCGTTTGATGTAAACTCACACTAGGCCCTCTGGACAGCTTTTAGTATCTAAAAGTTTGCACCGACTCTGTGGTCTAGTAGTATGACCACCTGACTCAGACCCAGAGGTCTCGGGTTCGATTCTCAGTGGGGGCATAATTTTCTGATCGGTTTGGTTGGCGATAAGGCTTGGTTTAATTCTCCCTGGCTAGCGATAACGATCTTACCTGTCTGCCGCCATAACAACAATGTTAACAGTAGGTATTGTTGTGTTTCGGCAGTTGGAGGTCGGTTTCGGAAGATTCCGGACGAAGCCATGAATGCTAGGATATTTACAGGAGCCCTATTCCAGTTGTGATAGCCAATTATCACTACTAAGATCTGGAGTAGCCTAAGATGAATTATTAACAAACTTGGACATAGCTTTTTTTCTATCTACCTACCCTGCATCACGTTTGTTTCATTGTGAATGTTTTTAAATGGGTATTTATTATTATTGGTTTTTGGGCCTTTATTTGCGCCAACTCGACCAGGTTTGATCTATTGTGGCAGCCCTTGTCTTTAGAGTTCACTGCTTAGTCCCGTTGAGTCTATAAATTTCCAGATTCTTTGGAGCGTGATATCTGCTATCTCATCCGGGTGCATGATGTGTCGCCCGAGATGGATACTTCTTTTGCTCATAAGCGGGAAGCATGAGCAAAGAACATGCATGGCCGTTTCTTCTTCTGTATGGCAGAATCTGCACAGAGTTTCCTCGGTCATGTTCATGTTCGATTTATGTTTGTTTAGTTTGCAGTGGCCGGTCAGTATTCTAGTCACTGCACAGGCTTTGTATCTTTTGAACTTTAGCAGTTCCTTAGTTACTTTGTTGCTATATCCCTGAATGAGTGCTTTTGAGTGTTTTTGTCCCGATGTAGACTTCCACCACTCAATAGCCTCTTAATTGCAGAGGGCGGTTAGTAGCGTGGTGGTTTTAAATGGGTAAACAAAGATCTAAAAATTGAAACTTTATTTTCAGCTAAATGAGATGGGCGGGCGGCGGTCGACGCTGGGCTTCCTGAACAAGGGCTACGAGCCGGCGCTCGACAGCGACGAGGACGAGGGACCGCGCGCGCGGCCCAGCGTGCGGTTCAAGCAGGACTTGTGATCACATACTACTTATTATTCTTATGTTATTGTTGTAAATAAATCAAACCTATTTAATTTAAACTTTCTTTCATTTTTTTATATGTAGGTATTTATAATATCTAAAATGTAATAACTCAAACGTGAGTGATCTATCAACGCACAGCCCAAACCACTGGACGGATCGGGCTGAAATTTGGCATGCAGGTAGATGTTATGACGTAGGCATCCGCTAAGAAAGGATTTTAAGAAACTGGGTGGAGTTAGAGAAGAAAGAGAATATACAAATAAGCGAAGAAAAACAGCATAAGGTATTTTCGTGCTAAAAAGACGCCCGATCAGATGTATGTAGTCTTCGAGCATGCAAGTTGCACACTTACACTTATATTTTTGGTATAATTTGTTTATTTATGTAGATATGCGGTGAATCTAAATGAAATAAAGTAAGTATAAACAGATCTAAGTTATACCACGTTATACCAGTTATACGAAATACCTGTCACTACCGTGCTGTCACTAATCTTAGAGATAGTAACTAACTATGTAGGTAAAATATTTTTTTGTAATGAAATTAAGATAACAGTCTCAATTCGATAAAATTTTTGAAACTTATCTCTCGGTGATGGAGTATCTGATTGTTTTCCTCATCTTGCCTGTCCTTGCTGTCGTTAAAGGTATCCTAGCCCGATCTAACAGCTCGATCTGACAGCATTAAACATTAGGCTCTGCGTTATGTTTTCCAGTATTGATTGTATGATAAATCCATGTGTAATTTTGACTATCATGAAATAGGAAAGTGCCCATAGGTTTACGTCCCGGGACTTGATCGTAGGCTAAAATTTTAGGCCGAATTTTGTTTTCTACCTTTTTAAACATGCATGAATGTTTGTTTAACAATGACACTTTTTATAGTTCACGTAATGTAATCAAAACTTTTTTGTTGGTGAGATATGAGACTGGTCTAATCACCAACTGATAAAATCACCTGCGAACGGCTACCTATTAATTATTACGTGTCGTGTAGATAATAATCACTGATATACAAATATTTGTGCATATCAATAGGAAACAACAAGTGAATTGGTTGCGTTAACCCTTATTCAAATAAAGGTAGATATATTACCACTTTGTTTACTTTTAAAAAAGGATCCTAATTTTCGAAATGGTAATAATTAAAGATATCTTGGTCACTTATTTATATTTTTAAATATATTTTTTTACTTATCTATGCCATTTTACAACTTTTCAACGTCATTTGTCACTGTCAGGTAATGTCAAAGTCAACCAAACGGTTTTGGTGTGAAAAATTTCAAGTTTTTAGCGCGCGTTTTTGGTATTTTTGAAACTTTGTTCAATGAAAATTCTGATAAGTGTTTTTTCGATTCAAATTCCTAAACTATAACATTTATTGTATAATCTCACTTATAGGCAACGTCTGCAATTGATTTATTCATATAATTTAGACATTTTAAAGAAGTGGTAAATAGTTTACCATTGTCCGACCCCGTCTTGACAAAAGTTTGATGATATATAAAAAAACTGTTGTATTTTGTATGTGCACAAATAAAACTAAATAAATATTTGGATAAATTTTAAGTTATTTTGATAACTATTTACGTAACCTTTTGACGTTACGTAATTAGTGAATTGTTAGTTTCAGACTCAAGGTAAGCATCCTAATTGTAAGCATAATAACTAATATTAATAAATATATTTTTTTATAAAAACAATAAATTTATTTCATTCCCGAAATATTTAATAAAATATAGGTAGAACCAAGAGGAAGTCACTAGTCAAGAACCAAAAATAAACCAAAACGGACAATGGTAACTATTTTACCACCAACATTTAATAATTTGTAGTCATGAATGGATAATGGTAAATTATTTACCACCCAAAAAACTACCCCTTCCCCTATTTTTTTATAAATTTTGATCAAAAATATGAAATAAGTGACCCACAATTACCCAAAATCCACTTCAACTTTGTAAAAAAAATGCATACCAGCTCGCGTTTGAATAAGGGTTAAAGGTAAATTAGGTATTAATTTATAGACACATTATAGCAATAATTCATTCTGAATCAGAAAGTTAAACAAACGTCCTGACTGCTCTACATTAATCGTGATAAAGTATAAATAATATGATGCTTTATTTTTATAATTGTAATTCGTTTTGATGCTAGTTGGCTATTAAATAGGTTTTTTTTATTATAATTTATTTTATTTACTAATTAAGTAACTGTGAAAGAGAGGCACGTTAATTTACTTTAAGACTATGTACCTACTTCATTAATACGCAAGCATTTTTATGTTACAGGATCATTTCACAAAATGGTATCATCATTGATACTGCTAAGTTGCATGTTCATGCTTGGGATTTTATTGCTGCAATTTGACTATTCCATTATCTTGTCTTGGATTGATGACCAGCTTTTCGGACAGGCGGCGACTGGCATTCTTTACGATGTGGATGCAAACGTGGTAAGATTTAGTTGTTTGTAATAGATAGGGTTTAACGCCCGTATTCACAAACGATACTTGCAAAGTGAAGCAGCAAATCAAACGCACAGCGTAAAATAGAGCTCTAATTGGTTCGTGTTTCACCCTGTACGTACACGCGCACTGTGAGACCTCATAGTAATCTTTGTGAATACGAGCGTTAGTATTGGCAGGCTAAAGAGATGGGAAGGATTTAGGCAAGTTTTTTGCCAACTTATCTTTGTAGTTCGCTAGCAACAGCTAAACCGCTTACTTAGCTTATGGTACAGTAAATAAATAGGTACTCTTATCTATGCTTCTTTATTGCTTCTGAGCCGTATCAACAAAACATGCTAGCTGGGTTTGCGCAGTATTTCTTTGCTTATCTACCTACTAAGTATAGCCTTTTTAAGCTTCTTAGAATTACAGTTTATTTCCCATTTAATATTTTCAGGTGCGCATTGATCGCACGACCGCAAGCTGGTCGATGATGTGGCTGGTCCTGATGTTTTTCGGAGCAGTCTTGGTCTTCCAGTTTGGTATGATGGTGTTCTATCAAATACGCGGCCTCCAGATGTTGCTTCATACCGTCGGAGTAAGTACTAACAAGCGGCTGATGGGGCAGCTAGGTTCTGGAGTGGAGGTCACGTAGCGTAGCGTAGAACGTCCACCCACAAGACCCCGACGACCTCATAAAGGTAGCGGGAAGGCGCTAGATGCAGGCCGCCACCAACAGGCCATTGTGGAAATCATTGGAGGAGGCCATGTTCAGCAGTGGACGTCCTGTGGCTGAAATGTTGATGATGATGATGATGAAGTACTAACATGTATTTATATTCTGAAAAAATATTTTAAGCGAATAAGTGTTTTTATAACTAGCTAGTGAGTAACTAGTTGATATAGCGAAGTGCCTTTAAAGGTTGCAGCATCTAGAAATTAAAAATTAACTGCAGTGCTCAATGAGCACTGCTCATGTTAACTCTTCATATTTGTTATACATTAAGTTTGTTAAGGAATCAACTGTTTTGAAACTTGAGTTGCTACTTTTCAAACTAACGATTTCATACTTTTGTAACTAAAGTTCATTTGTATATTCACAGCGAGACGAAAATGACCATCTAACTAGGGAAGCCATAAAGAGCGTCAAAGCACTTCGGACCTCTAACGACGGGCCCTGCAGGAAGACTCTCCGAAACCTGACGCGAACTCGGAACCCTCGAAAACGGCTGCAACAAAATAAATGATTTCTATAAAAGCATGTTTTATTCGTTTCGACTGCCAAAACGAAAGTTTTACATATTTTTCAATATGTAAAACTTTTGTTTAGCAAGTATAAGATTCTCATCGCGTCCATTCTTGAATGATTAATGATAAATACATCCCATCAAAAACAATACTTGTCAAAAAAACCAAGTCTCGCAACTCAGTTATTCTACGGTAAAAAGTTGTGAGATCCATGTAATGCCAAGTCCAGGCCAGGAAATCTTTAATGTTTTACATAAATATATTGACTTGGCCATCGCACTAAATAATTTAATTTACACGTGTTTTCATGCGATGGCCAAGTCAATATATTTATGTAAAACATTAAAGATTTCCTGGCCTGGACTTGGCATTACATGGATCTCACAACTTTTTACCGTAGAATAACTGAGTTGCGAGACTTGGNGAGCTCGCACAACGTAATTTTATAACTAGGCTAAAGAAACGATTCAGAAATACGAGTATCATATTAATAACTTAATAATTACTTGCTACAAATATGTGATATAAAGAAAGAAAGAAAGAAAGAAAGAAAGAAAGAAAGAAAGAAAGAAAAAATGTTTATTCAGTAAAGGTATGTAAACTTAGTTTTTTCATTACTCGGCTATTTTATACTCGTAGATAGGTACCTGTAAAGATCACAATTGAGTACTGGGCCTTTTGTAGAGTAAAACTTTAGTGCTTGTGTACGTACATATCTGAATAATAGGTAGGTAGGTGATATTTCACTTAGGATACGATACACTTATGAACTCGTATGTAGAGATTTTACGAGTATTATTTTAAAGTAAATTGGTAAACATAAGGAATACGTAAGTTTTCTGTTTGACTATTGACCCTAATTGCAAATTATATAAATACGATCATTTAATGTGTTCAAAAATCTTGTGCAAATATGACCCGAAATTTGTGTGTATTTGGGTCCTTTCCGGAAGATGTCGAGAAGTTGTTGCTCGCTACATTAAGGGAACTGGTTTTTACAACTTGCAAAGTGCAAGGCTTATCATAATCATCAGCATCGTTTACCCATAATGTAAATGATTGCCATTTTCTCATAAAGTTAAATGCTTACTTTTTAAAATAATAATAATAATAAATCTTTGGACAATTTAATAAAAAAATATTTAAAATTAAGAAAGAAATATAAATAAAGAAATAATAATAATAAATCTTTGGACGATTTCACACAGCGCCACACACAAACACATAGCAAAATATACACTTAAATTAAAGTAATGTATTACTAAATATTCACATTTTTTATACTCAAGCTATACATAAAGTAGGTGGGTAGCTCATTATTTGCTCTACAAAAGAATATCCCCAATGAAAGCGAAACTGACAATTTTTACGTCAATTATGGGCAAAGTAAATAAAGAGCAGAAGAAAAGCCTCAAAGGGATTTGGACAACTTCGATCGTATTCAAATAATTTTATATGACGTAGGGAGACGTAGAATATCAATGTAAAGATTCAGTAATACAATACAAGTCATAAGTAGAATGAATAACGGCATAGCTACAATTTGAATTCGTCCAAAGGTGGTGGTATATGCAAGGTCGCATCTGCTAGGGCACGCTCCAGCAGTTTTCTGGCGCGCCGTTACGTCCAGCTGATACGCAGGTTACACAGACTTGATTTACTCGATTGATTAGAGACAAATTGCAACTACAAGTGCAAAATTATGAAGGGTGAAGACATGGTGAAGACTGTAGGTAATGTTTTATAGTTGAAAACGAGAGTCTTTTTTATAGGGTCCGAAGTTAAAATATTATATTGGACTTTATAATTTGCAAAGCAAAATTTGTTTTTAATCCCACATAAAGATATTATGTTTCAAGATAGAGTTTTAGAATTATCTAGCTAGAGGGATTGTATAGAACTCTCGATGCAGAATATTGCCTTGCGTTTGACCGTTCTATTACGTAAATTAAATGTTTCCAAGTCGGAATCCAACTGTAAATAGTATAAAGTAGTGTCTAGTTAGTAGTTGTTTTTTTTTTCAATTACCTATACAATTTAATTTCCAAATCGACTATTTATTATTGTTTCTGTAAAATATGTTTATGAAAAGTCTTCGTGACCAGTGTGTACATTTTGCAATCAGTTGCAATCAGTTCTTATAGAGTTACAAATAAAGTGCAAATTACTCTTATGTAAGTGTAACGGAAAATCTTTTACACGCACGAACGGCAGTATTTTTTCAATAAGCAAACTTGCATACATAATAACTGTTTAAATTGTTAATAGAATGACATGATGCATGCATTATGTGACAAAATGCAACGGTGTTGAGTAATGGCAGTGGCGTTGGTAGGTATAGGAACTGCAGAACGCCCGTATTCACAAACGATGCTTGAATAATTGAAGCAGAAAATTGAACGCACAGCGTTGAATAGAGCTCTGTGATTGGTTTGTGTGTCACTCTATGCGTCCACGCGCACTGTGAGACCTTATAGTAATATTTGTGTATTTTCTTGGATTGAAATTTATCGCCAATTTATTAGCTTCGATAACTATAAAATCGATAATTAATGCTAAATTAACACACTATTTTCTAGGAACTTTCCTAGAAAATAGGTCTCTCGCAAGCATTTCAGTGATTCAGCTNGGTAATCAATAATTCTTAGGATAGTATAGGAACCTAACCTACTATGAAGGTTTTCCATAATGAATGCATACTTACCTACATACGTACCTCATTACAAATAAGTAGTTTAATTATTTTTTCATTAGACAGCAACCCTAACAGCGTAAGAAGAGTTCAGAGGCACGCGATAGAAAGAGACAAAACTTGTAGGTGAATAAAATTGTAGGTACGTAGTGCTGTGCGAGCTGAATTCCACTGTATCGCGTCGTAGCAAGACTCGCATTTATTTAAATCGTCTTGCGGAGTAATCCTTCTGTACCTGTACTATTACTTATTCTGTGGTAAGGGGTCGTAAGTGCGAGCGTGTCGGTCGAGAGTCGGCGCGGCCGCAGTGAGCGCGCGGCGACCCGACCGAGCACAGGCGCCTGCGCACAATGCGCACGCACGAACTCCCGCGAGTGACCACGAAACACAACAACACAGTGAAGTGACAACACCTGTATTCCCTTGGATTTATTCACCACTCTTCCTTCTCCAACCCTCACGGTAAGCTCTATTTTACTTCAAATTGCTCCTGCTAAACCTGCTACCTTCACCAACAGCTGACCTTTCCGGCCCGAGGCTGTACACGATCAGCTACGAAAGTATGCGAGGGTGACTGCAATTGGTGATCAATTGCATAACTCAGTCTTGTAAGTATCAGGATCCGTACTTGCTAGACATCGAAAGTAGATTCTAATGAATGACAGTAAAGCTTCTATTAACGGCCGATTGCATGATTTCTTTTTCGAAAGTTTCGAAATCGCCTTGTTTTGTGAAACTTACGCGTACTTGAGTACTGCGGAAAAATAACTTGCGACAGCTCGTAAATGCGTATAAATTGATAATAAATGGTCTATTGAAAACTAGCTTTTGCTTGGTTTCGCGTGTTACTGGGCACATATTCGCAATCGTAAACAAAAGTGAATGTAGGCGGCGTTGGCATGGGAGAAGTAAGAATGGAAAACAAAGAGCTGTAGTTTTACTCGTACAGCTCGGCCTCTAAATTCATTAATATTAGGTATATTAACATTTAGATGTAGATAAAACATGATAAAGAAGTTGGGCTACGTATCTTGTTCCACTGGTAATGGTTGAAACAATTAAAAAGACAATCCAATGTTGCATACATAGAGAAGTGACCTTCGTGACATTCACATTTTATTTAAATGCCAGTAAGATCTAGCCTATGAATCGATCCTTACATTTTTTTTAGAATCGTGATGATATCATTGGCTTTGGCGAAGCTTTACAACCACAACAAATGTGTATCTATGTTCAACTAATACATTAATTAATTATATTGAACGTCTGTTGTAAAGGCCTGTAATTGCCTTCACAAAACACACTGAAGTAGAAAACCAACGCGTCGTTACCCTAAGGCCGCGAACGCATCCGGTTCCGCCAGAGGGTCGTTCTCAGTATACGCAAAAGAACAATTTGTGATGCAGACGTAATTAAAACAAAATTAGCTAATTAATAACATTATGTTGCGCAGTCCGACCTGTTCTATGTGCAATACTGACGAGGTTTAATTACATTCAAGGAATTTCGAGAATACTTATGACACTATTAAGCTAGACCTAGAAACGTGGCCGACCGTGATACCAAAAAAGTCTGATCTCGTTTACAATTCTGTTTATTTTAAAACGAAAATACCTTGTTTCGATGAACTAATAAAGCAATATTTATAAACTCAAATGGTACTTATTCTCGTTTCCTAACAGATTCCACAAACCATATCGTGAAACGAGAAATTCGTTATCATTGAAAATCATTAGACTATAATGACATGGCTCTTCTCAGAGGCAACTTTGTGACGTATTCTTTACATGCGTTTTTATTAACCATGACCTAATTTTTTGCGATGCGTTGTTATCTAGAAAAAAAGTTTCATTGTTGAAGTAACTACATTTGTTTAAATATTTATTAGGGAGTGACTAATATGTGTTTTAGTAATTTTTGCATAACATTTGTGTGCAAATGTAGTTTCACTTTTTTTCTTTTCGTTCTCCTGAACACACTGAACAGTAGCTCTACATATTTCATTCAAGATTTTTACGACTGTACAAATAATCGTTGACTAAGTTGAGAAATAAAGCGAAATAACTGAAACACTTCACTTCCAAAACCTTCAACCTAATCATATTAAAATTCGTGAATTTTTTATTACTCCATTGAAACTTTTTATAGCCAACCTTCCTTGCATCGTTTGCCGAAACACGATGTGGTCCTATTCGCATATTTCCCAAAATCTTGGTGTGAAATCACAAGTGATTAATACGGCTTGCTTTTTCAGAATGCAATGGCATGTAGAGTTAAGTTATCTAACTTTAGGTTGCTAATAGTAAG